CAGGGTAGATAGGCAGTGGCAGTCCCGGCCACTCCTCAGTGCCTCAATTGGCTGCTGGCTCCCACCGGTCTGGCCAGTCTTCAGCAGGGTAGGATCCTCCTTGGGCTGCAGTCCCTGGAGCAGGCAGAAGGCATCTGTCTCCTCCTGCGGCTCCTGCCCTCCTGAGCTGCAGGTATCCTCCTTTATACTTCCTGTCCTGCCCCTTAACCAAGCCTGGCCAGACTCCACCCACCTCTGTTCAAGGGGCATCAGTGGGAGGCCACTCCACCTCACTACATGGTCATCCAAGAAACTCCTCTTAAAGAACTCCCAATTTTCCTTCATGTATTTCGGTCTAAATTTTTCCTTCCAATTAGTTTTGCCCATAATTTCCCTCAGCTTTGGAAAATAAACCCTTTTGAAGTCTCCACCACAATAATCTATGCTTAAGTAACTATAAGGCTAGAGTGCAATGTGCTTTACTGGGGAATATTCTTGGAAAAAGAAGAACAGGAGTACTTGTGGCACCTTAGAGACTAACAAATTTATTAGAGCATAAGCTTTCGTGGACTACAGCCCACTTCTTCGGATGCATATAGAATGCATTCTATATGCATCCGAAGAAGTGGGTTGTAGTCCACGAAAGCTTATATGCATCCGAAGAAGTGGGCTGTAGTCCATGAAAGCTTATGCTCTAATAAATTTGTTAGTCTCTAAGGTGCCACAAGTACTCCTGTTCTTCTTTTTGCGGATACAGACTAACACGGCTGCTACTCTGAAACCTGTCAAATATGATAGTCACCCATGCAGAATATTAAATATTTTGGCTCCTCTGAAATCAGTGTGTAAAAGGCAAGAGAGGAAGCGCGTAACATGTGATGTGATTGCTGAAATATAATTTCTCAACCTCAGAAACATAATTCCTGTTTTCACAATGATGATCTGTTTCTGAAAGTGTAAAGATTAAATAAATATGTGAAAAAAGCACTTAAAGGAGAAATGTGTTTTACTTTAAGTTTTTAGGAGCTCA